TTTGGCTGCCGGAAGTGCAGGCAGCTGTCTTTTAACAATGCGATCTCATCGATTCCTATTCTTTTTTATTCTGTAAGTGGTTCAACTAAGTGTTCGCCCTGCTGCGCGTCCAAAACTGATTTTAGCGCATTATTCATGTGCATAAAAATGCGGAACCTTTATCCTAATTTAAAGCACTTGTGGTGTATGCCGAACGTACGCATTTCTTTGTTTCTCTCATATTTCTGCTCAGCGTTGCGTTAATTAGTACACGGGACCTTATCGCTCACTACCCCCCTGCTGTCGTTGCTTAAACCTGATGTCACATCCGCGGAGGTCATCCTTTGTTTCCCCATGTTATCTGTTTTAATTCTGAGTCAATCCCTACTTACTTGCTAAAAGTAGCAATTTTATGCGCTCTCATCATTTCAGGATGCGGCAAGACCTTGTTGCTGGAAGAGCTGGAGGCTGCCAGTGAACGCGTAATACATCTCGAACGTTTGGCAAACCACAAGGGCTCGGTGTTTGGACAGTCTTCCGCCCACGTGAAGCCATCACAACGGGAGTTTGAGCGCGAATTGCATGCCGCTTTAGCTAACTGTATCTCATCCCTTATTTTCGATGTTGGACATCAGTTGCAGCGGGAGGCGACTGAAACGGAACCCAGATTGAACCCCGTATGGGCCGAGTGCGAATCCCGATCGGTCGGCCCGCGCTGTAGATTACCAAATGGACTTTTCTCTCGTCTCCGCGGTACTGTGGGGCTTCCAACCCGACGAATTTGGCTTGACGTTCCAGAGGAGGCTAGAGTCGACTGGATTCTCGCTGATTACGCGGACTGGCTAGGTGACCTTGAGCGCTTAGATCGTGTCGTAGAGTCGTAAGTGCCAATTTCCTCTATCCGAATTCGATCTTTGTTTCCTTGCCATAGGATGAACTCTGAACTAATTCCATGGGTGGTGGCCTTACCTGCCTTAACGCGCAGTGCGGCCAACCCACGATCAGCTAAAACGGCTGGCCCGGAGTATTGATACTTAGTATTCAGAGCGTTTGCATTTTTATTTTATATTTTTTCTTCATCATTTTGAAGCTTTCCATCAGATGATGGACCATTTATAAGTTTAACCCGTATTACTTATATAATTTCAGTAGTTGATGTT